TATTATTATTATTATTATTATTATAATAGATATATCAGTTGCACAACTAATATTCCATGTCTTACTTGTCTTAAATCTATTTTCACCCAAAACAAAGGGTCTTCATCATCTTTTGGACATAAAATACTAAGACTTTTGGCGTAGGCCCACTAGCTTACAACTACATATGAGCTCAACAATCTAGATTGATCTTACAGTCACGACTTCATTTTGTATTTTAATTTTAATTTTTTTATAAATTCTAATCACATGAAATTTTAAACGTCTATTCTTCTCATCAAGGCACACTTAATAAAGTATTAAAAAAAAAATTCAAAATATAAATTGACCAAAATACTTTTGAAATATTTTTTGGGGTATTTTAGTCAACTTATTTTGCACAAAATATTTTTTTATATTTTTATTGGATTCTTTTATTTTTAAAGAACACGTAATCAAAATTTCAAATAATTTAAATTTATAAAAAAAATTAAAATTAAAATACAAAATGAGATCGTGACTATCGAATCGAAATAGGAACCGTTTGATTCATATGTAACAGTAAACTAGTAGCCTGCGCCATTATTTCCCTTGCATAAAATATCCCGCCACTCTATTATACCCTCAATCTATCTTATATTGTATACAACTTTTGGGTTAGTTTCTAATATTGTACTTCGAAAAGTAATGCACAAGGGTTGACATTGTTATGAAATATTAAATATGTTTTGAGTTGATTTCAAAACAATGCCAACACTTGTTTAATGCCAATAGGTAAGTAGGTTTATCAGTCCCCTTCAAAAATAACAGAAAATTATATTTCACAAACAAAATATTTGGATTAACCTACTTAATAAGGGGAATATTCTACGGAATCCAACCACCCAATATATACATTCCTGTGATCGATTGAGGCATTTATTTATTGGGTGTGGTTTGTATATAATTGAGGCCCTAACAATAAAAGTAAAAGGTACCTTCAGTAATGCTTAATTATGTTGTTTCAAACTTTCAGTATTAGAAATTATTGTGCTGGCTTGAAAATTTATTTTTATATCTAAATATAAAATTTAAAGATCCAAAAATACTGTAAATCGAGCAGATCCATGAACGTTTAAAAATCTTGAAAATTGACAGTCTAGATAATACATTACAAGGTGCATTATTTTCGAGACTTGAAATCTATTTTTTCTCATGTCCATACATCTTGACGTGGTTATGATCGAATTGAGTTTTTCACTATCGAAACAACCTTACCTAATGAATTTTTGAGGTGTGCCTTAACTTGATTGTTTAGGACCTCACCCTTATATAAACTTTTTTCTTTATTCATTTATTACTATAAAGACCATGGCTTAATATATAAAGTGGAAAGTAAGGGTGGCAATGGGCTGGGCCTAGGCCAGGCGAGCCTTGGCCCTCGGCCGTCCCTTGTCCATATAGGGCTGGGCCGATCGGCCCATTGCCAGCCCTAGTGAAACGACACTTAGGCACACCTTTAGGAAAGGAGGACATTATATCAACATGCAACATACAAGGAATTCCTGTTTCCAGAATTTTTTCAATGCTCATGTTTTCTTCAAATGACTAATGAGTAATCTAACCCCTATGTCAACAATCCTCTTCCACTAAACATATATAAGTACTATAGAAATTAAATTTCAAACAACCTCATGAGACGCAGTCCACATCAAAAACTTTGCTATAATTGAGGTTGCGTTCTTTTTTCCTGGTATTTTTGTAGCCTTGCAATCTACATTGGTATTTTTGTAGCCTTGCAAGCTACAAACTCCATATAACACAGCATTCCTTCCTCAATGTTTACCAGATCACTGGACACGCTACATCGCAATCTGGGGTTCCGAGATGCTAGTATCGACACGACTATGAGGGAGCACAACCCCACCATTGCAATACAACTCGTCTGCTATGCTCACTCCCTCCCCTAACACAGCCATCTGCTCCACATATGCCCACCGCCCAACTGTCGCATGCCACCCAACGATGCTCTCCCTAACACATGCATGCTGCTCCCCTCATCAAAACGCACCTCGAGAGTCTCGCCCGCCCCCGACTCAACCACGCATCTGTCCCCTATACATACATCAGGGCCTATCAAGCAACCGTCCCCTATCTGAACCCCTTCTCCTATGAGAACATTGCCTAACACTTGGGGCCCCTTGGCTAGGCTGCCTACTCTGTGTTTGGCCCACTCCAGATAGTATTTCATGCCTAGTATGTAGTCTTGAGGCCTGCCTATATCAACCCAAAAGCCTTGTAGGCTCATTTGCATACAGCTGTGATTATGTTGCGAGCTTAGGCAATACGTCTCTCTCCATAGACATGGGCTGAACCTCTAAAGTGCAAACTACCTCGGGGCTTAGGATGTATATCCCTGCATTTATGTCATTCGCCACATATGCCCTTGGCTTTTCCATGAATTCCTTCACCAATCTTGTCACTTCATCCACCACTGCTACCCCGTACTGGGATGTTTCACTGGCTTTGGTTACCAATATGGAGGCTTGATGGCCATGGTGGCTATGGAACTTGAGCATTTGGTTGAAGGGGAACTCACAGATCACTTCACTATTGAGCACGAAGATAGGATCGGGAAATTGGGATGAACCAAGAGGAGGTCTCTGGCTAATGCGATGGGACCAGCAGTACCAAGTGGCTCACACTGAGGCGAGCACACAATCTTGATTCCTACTCTGGATTCCATCTCCCTTACGAACTTCATCATGCCCTATGCCAAGCCATTGACAAGTTTGCTTAATGCAGTTAGATTTGGTTGTCACCATCGCATCTGTGTGTGTGTGCGTGTCAACCCTGAGGTTTTGAACATGTTTTAATTGAGATTTTTCGAAAATGCCCAATATTATATGGTTGTACATGCACAAACATGTATGCATGTCTATGCATGGGTTTCCATGTATGGAGGCACCATCTGGTTGAGGCTGGTCTCAGCTAGCAAAGGCCTCATCAGACCAGTTTAGAGCACCTGATCCTGACTAATTTCGAAAGAAATGTCCAAGACCAATGGAAAAAAAAAGGAAAAGAAGATAAGCTTCCAAATAACAAAGATAGGGAAGGTCCAGTAATTTATTAGGAAAATAAATTACCTCTGCCTGATAGTTGACTGCAAGAATAACTTCATCAACTCGTGCTTCTCTAAGTGCTTCAATCTGGAGATTACAAATTTGAGGATGACATGTCAAGAAAATATGATCAGAAGAACAATTGCTTCTAATATTTGAGTTTTCTGGGCACAAATTTTCCTCATCTCACCTGGTGCAACACCATTTGCTTATTAGAGAAATCCACAAGTGGTCTAGGAACTCTGAGAGTCAAAGGACAACCTTGAGGCAAAACCACCAAGAAGGATCAAGGCCTTCATCTTCTTCAACACAACAAGAGTACGAGGGGTCTTTCTCACTCAAGAGTTGCAGAGAAAGGCAGCAATTGAAGAACAGGGAAGTGAGAGAAAGGTGAAGGCCTCAAGGGGGTGAGGATTTGGATTATATACAAACCACCTTGGTTGTTTTAAGAGGATAGAGACGACATATAACTTCTATTTTATCCAAGGAAAGAATATGAAGGGTCTTTCGCATTCGAGTTGTACAGAGAGAACCATCAAAAGAGAAGAATAGAGAAAGTGAGAAAGGTTGAGGCCCCCAAAAGATACTGATTGGAATTTAAATCCAAACCACCATATTTGTTTTAAGGGAAAAGTTTATATAAGGATACTAACCTTATAAGGTAGAACTACGGATGCACCTCAAAAATCCATCGAAAATGTAATTTTTATGTTGAAACCATTTTGATTGATCATCTCGACATCGAGATGTATGACCATGAAAAATAAAAAGATTTTAAGTCTAAAAAATAATCCATTTTACAACATATTATCTACACCGTCCATTTTCAAGATTTTCATATGTTTATAGATCTACTTGATTTTAACCATTTTTGAAATTTAAAATTTTATAATTAGATATAAATTTTTGAGATAATCCTAAAAACATTTTACATCAAAATTATATACCATGATTTTGATATACCATGATAAAATTTGAAACCATGATTTTGATATACCATGATAAAATTTGAAGGTGCACCTTACCTCTACAGCTACGGATGCATCGTACGCCAACTGCACCCTTGTTTTAATAGGGAAAATATAATGTAGGTGAAGTCAAATTTATTTAAGCCAGAAACTGGCTCTTATTGTGCTCAGTGTCCTAATATGGTGTCTCAACTGCTGGTGGTTGGGCAGCCATCTTGGACAGCAAATTTATTGACAAATAAAATGTAAGAAAGGAATCCCCCCCTCAAGTCAGCCAAAGCAACAAGACAGCTACAAGGACACCACAATTGTTTTCCTGCACTTATTTTAAGCAAAACCTTCTTGTAACTGCTTTCTATTACAAATGCGTTGATATAAATGAGATGCTTTAACTGTAGATCATTCATAAATTGCTCTTTGCAAGCAATCTTCTGCAAGTTACTTGAGGAATTTACAGTTTCGTAATTCCAACCTTCTGCCCACTATTTGACCATTTCAGAATTTGTTTCATATTTTTAGCTGCAGCATCATAACTTCACCAGAGAGAGGAACAACACAGATCTAGATAAATAAAGAAATAAATAAAATGCTCTCAACAAAAATTAAAATTTCAAATTGGTAATGCAAATATAACTCTGGTACATGAACTTCTTGTTTTACAAAAAAATGGAAATTATGATTTTACAGGAGAAACAATGAGCGTAAAGCTGCATTCCTCCATACACACTGCTCTCTTTCCAAATTTACAAGGTAGACTCATTATGCATGTTTCCATGAAATACTCAAGTTACATGAATCTCCATGAATTTATGAAGGTGGACTCTACGTCTATGACATGAACTTAGAAGGGTCCATTAAAATGTTCCGCTAAGATCCAAGTTTTCGATAAATGCTAATAAAATTCTCTTCCATATCATATTCTTTAATTAATTGAATCCATTGATCCAAGAGCTTGGCTCCTCCTTCGCTTCTCATCTTTTATCGGTTGGTTCCTGAAGGAAGAGCAATAGTATTCCCGATTCCCCAGTAATGGTTTATTTGGTTGTACTTAAAATCAAATTGAATAGCCAAGAAGGGGAAGTACACAAAATACAATGGCCTATTGAAAACTCAGCATCCATACTGCAGATGATGGAAGTCATGGATAGTGACAACTGGAACCCACTGTTGGTGCCATGTCCTATTCTGATGGATCCCGACTTTCCCTGCATGACCGTCCATCATTTCCATGGATGGTGGACAATGATTTGCTTGTCCATAGATATTGAATTATGGAATGCTTTTCATTAGTTAATATGCGTTGGTGTGAATATCCAGATCACTTGTCAACCATCTCCCTCTCCATCTCTGACCAGATCATTTGCCACGGTCCAGCTTCAGTACCCATCCTGAGAAACAAAACCTCCATCAGTAATATCCTAATACCAGTGAGCTCTTTAAAATGGAAATCTGGGATCGTTTGAGAAACTTTGGTACATCAAATCCCATCAACGAAGAGAACATAAAATTGTGAAAGGTGGGATTTATAAATTTCTTGCTCCGAGATCCCCACATCCATTAAAGAAAGAAAGAAAGATGTAATAGTTAATTTTCAACAGATCAAGTGTACCTTGAAAATGTATTTGTGTCTGGATGTATGTACAGAGATATTTATGAAAGCAATAGAGAGAGAGAGAGAGATTATGTCAGAAAGAGAGAGAGGGAGAGAGAGGAAGTTAAAAGGATCGATAGGAGGTCACATATAGTACCAGAAAGGAAAGTGGGAAGCAGGGAAATGTGAGATTTGTAAAGAAATTGTAGAATAACTAATAATTCATGATAAAGATTGAGAGTGACCAATTGATGATAAACTGATACCTCCAAAACCCAGCTACTCCACGCAGGAACATAAACAAAACCAATCCTCCCCAAATGCCAGTAAGGCCGAAAGCTGGGGCAGCAACCAGTAAAAAGAGTGATGATATCAGGCCAACCCACACCTGCAAGAGCATTCCCCACCAAATTCAAGTATCAGAAGAGAAATAGCCCATGAAAAATAATTGAAGTTTTGAGAAAAAGAAATATACTAAAAACATTTTGGAAATCAAATGCATCATTCTTATACTGCTCTAAAATTTCAAGCAAAGAACAAGAAAGCATAATATGGATCTAAAGAGGATTTAATAAATTTGAATTTGAAAAGACTTTGGCCAGGGTACCAAAACAGCAAATACAAAATGAATTGGGTGAAAATATGTCTATGAAATCTAACCACAACCAAATAATTTTAGAAATAATTAAACCACCATTTTAATAAGAAAAATGAAACATTGAAAAATATTGGCTTGGAAAAGTATAGTGGAAACCAGTGGTGGGGAACCATCATTTAACAGGGTCATCACCATCTAATGAAATGATGGATGTTGAGGAGTGAGAGTGAGACCCACGATTGGGATTATGTCCTGTTCTGGTTGGTCGAACTGTGTTTCCATCACCAATCACCAGTTCATTGGAAAGTGATCGCCCCGACTATAATGTTTTCTATAGTCCAAAGGATTATAGAAGTCATACCATTGAATAAGCAGCATAAGCAAAGTCCGAAACTCCATAGTAGAGCCCATCAAAGACAAAAGCAATGGCATTGATCGGCTGAGAACCAGCAACAAACTGCAAAGTTCCATTCATCCTTGTCAAAGAGACAAAGTTTGCAAATCTCACTATCAAAATACCAGCTATTGTACATACAGAAAAAGGAAAAAAAACAAGGCAGCTATTGTCTTTGCAGCTATTGTCTTCGCATGGTGGTTATCTTACCACGACCACAGAATAGGCAATCTCCAAGACACAGGAATCTGTAGTAAACAAGCTGGAGAAGGTCCCAAATCCAACAAATAAGGCAATAGCCAAAACAATGCCAGTAGCCAGTGCTATCTGCCAAACATTTGATCACCACGGCAAAAAATTAAAAGGTGTTCTCATTGTCCATATGGGAAAGTATATTGTAATCTAATGGAGTACACAAAACCATATGGCATTGGGGTTCTCACCATCTGACGAAATGATAGGCGGTGATAGACAGAGAACCTGACCAACCAGAACAGGAAATGATCACTATGGTGGGCCCACTCTTCATCACAGCCCATCATTTCATCTGACAGTGATCATGACAGTTTGCAATAATACCATCATCCGTCAGATTACATATATTCCTCCTCCTATATACAAGAGGAGAAAAAAAGGAATATTTCTGCATTTTTCTTGATTAACAAGAGTATTGAAATGATAAAGTGAAAAGGATGAAAGAAACAACCCAAGGACCGAATCAACAAAAGAGAATTCAGAAATCAATTCTCCCACAATGATTTTATAGGTGAGATGAATTGCAGGTTTCTAACCTGTAGAACCCTGTAAATAACCTGCCTAGCTTTTTCATAATCCCCTTGAGCAAAGACCCTGGCAAGAAGAGCCTGGACATGGAGAGAATACACAATTGAATTTTCTAACAAGCTGAATATGAGATGAGATTTTTCAGACCTTAGAAACTAGTAAGCATTTTCTTAAATATATGTATCGGGTGTGGTTTGTATAGGGCTGAGGCCCTAAACAATCAAAGTAAGGTGCATCTTCAAATACTGTCAAAAGATGTCATTTTAGTACCAAAATTTTTTATAATGGCCCAAAAATTTATTTTATTTTTAAATTACAAAATTTGAAGCTTAAAAATAGTGTAGATCAAGCAGACCTATGAACACTAGAAAATCTTGAAAATTGACAGTGTAAATAGCATTACAAGATTCACTATTTCCAAGACTTGAAGTCCATTTTTTTTTTTTTATGTCCATGTATCTCAAGGTCAAGATGATCGGATTTGAGGGTGTTTGGGCAGCAAAGCAACTTCTCTTAATAAATTTTTGAGGTGCGCCTTAGTTTGATTGTTTAGAAGCCCCATCTTATATAAATTATTCCATGTATATATATATATATACACTACTAATAATACACTTCGTGTTAATAATTGAGAAGAAGTTATAATAGATAATATAGAAAAACAAATCCAAAATTGGAATATACCAAAAGTACCTATAACAGATGTTTATAGTAAGGGGACTTTTGATTTCAAAAGTAGTCATATATATATATATATATATATATTGGTCTAAGAAGGGTGAGGACCTTAAACTTTCTCTTAACCCGTTCCAAGCCTAAATAAAAGGGGTGGGTTGTGTTAGGTAGGCAGCTAACGTAAAACTTTCGCCAAAACTTCTCATGAATCCAGAATATAAGAAACTAGTAGGCATATTTTTCAATTGAGTATGAAAGCTATGTAATAGATTTGAATTGCACATATTTAGTCGCCTATCGATGATTAGTGCAAGGATATATGACCCCTACTTACCTGACCAGCAAGTGCTAGGGAGTCAGTGAGAAGAGATACTGTGAACCATACTTCCAAGCAAATTTGGTGACCAGCCATAGGAACAGGACCTTGCCGTGCAGCCATGGCCGTACCCAGTGTCATAGTTGAGAGAATAGCCACAGTTCTTCCAATCAGTAGAGTACCTGTGAAGCGAAGGTAAGGTGGGCATTACGATGGTTATCCATTCACCTCAAATCTATACGCCCAAGTAATAAGCCATTTCCGGTCTTTAGAACATGTTGTGTCTTGGATAATTATACTATTGGCCATTCCACTATAATAACATTCTGAATTGTATCTAGAACAGTTAAAGAAGACACTGGCAATCATCTAGATTGAAGCATTTGTTTTCCAAAATTCAGATACTTGAGGCCTAGTGTTGCATGTGTTAATCATAAACAAAAGGAGGCCAATGAGTTGATCCATCATCTAATTAGATGTTAAGTTAGTGTTGCACATATAGAGAAGTTCGTCATGGTAGTCATGCCTAGTTTTTATGTCAATTGTCCATTGGAATTTAATACTACAGCAATTTTAACATAACTATCTATCTAGTTCCTTAAAACAAAAAGACAAACTGAATTAGAAGAAACATGAACAAGAATGCTCATTTTTTCTTTAAAAAACAACTGCATTAGAAGAAACATGAACAAGAACTTCAATGAGTATTATAAACTTTCTGAGAATATATTCATAGCAAAATGTACAAGGTTTCCTAGCTTTCCTGAACCATACCAGATTTTTGATAACGGGCAAACCGCTCTGTTTCTATCTTTGTAGGAACGAGTATTACTTTTGAATTCAATTCCAAAAGAAGGAAAAGAGCTATGAGATACCTGAAAAACAAAACCAAAAACAAAACCAAAAGACGTGAGGCTTATGCAATACATGGAATTGCATGAATCCAAAAGCCCTCCATGCTCCACACAGTTCCATAATGCACTACAGGCATACCATGCAGTAGCAACTGAGACTCGGTCAAGCATGTAATGTAATGTTTTGGACCGATCTTGCTTACTCTGAAAACACAGTAGCAATGGCAGCACCACCAATCCCCAAGCCGAAGATGAACATCAGAATTGGATCCAATACCATGTTCAACAAGTTGCCAGCAACTGATGATCCAAAGTAATAGGCTTCATAAGAATCTAAGGTTTCACAGCTAAACCTAACATAAAAAATGAGAGTGTCATTTGGACCATCATGAGCTTTTAGATGGTATGCATGCAGCAACTTCAGGACATCATATGACTTTACAAGTGTTTCCACACGAGGTTCATCATGAAAGCTAGTTTTTTATGGATATAGTTAACCAATTGTCTAGTAGCATAAGGAATACAAGGTTGACAACTTGCCTATGGCATAAAGAGGGCTCTTAGTATCCATGAATCCACGAAAAGCACCTTGCGCTGCCATTGCAATGACTACTGGGGGGGCACCCAAAGCTCTTATCTTAAGAAAATGATTAGCTGGTAGGTGCATAGGTGAATCCTATAAAGCCATACGCGAAGATACATCATATAAGATATAGACACCATCATCTCAGGAGAACATAAACATGTGGATATTTCATACTTCACTACACATCCATCCCATTACCAGGAAATGCAAGAAGCATAACACACGTTCTTTTTTCCCCAAAAAAAACAAGAATTTCATGGTCAATAAAAAATTTACTCAGATTAAATCGGCCACTTTAAACAGAAGGATCATTTCTCCAAGATTCCATACAACACATCCCACAAAAGTAGAGTATTACTAAAGGACAAAGTGCAATTGCCTATGTTAGCAAGACGGAACGCCTTTAAGTTGCAACGAAAGGTTAAGTGGCATAATCCACTGTAATATGTAAAGTTACGGGTTGTCAAGCTCATGACAGATTCTTGAGTTCTACCCATTCGCATGCGTGACTAGTTCAAAATACACACTGATAGGAATGGAAATTTTTGTAGGGCTATAAGCAAGTCTAGCAAACAAAGGACAGCAGGAAAAATAAAAAATACATATTTTTGATGTTTATGAGTAAACTCTTGGAGTTTGAGGATCTTACGTACAGAGAAAATCTACTGATTGGTAAACCATAAAAAAAACCTAGAAACTTCCAACAAAGAAAGTTTGTTTTGGTTAAAAGTACTTCCAAAAGAACAAATATTTGGATGTATATTTAATGATGTACCGTAGCCACGGTTAGTCATACTCAGACAAATGTGACGTACAACAGGTATACCCATGAAATTCAAGAAGACCTCTGAACCACATGAAAGTGCAATCGCTTCCGCAATGCCAGCAGCAGCAGCCAAAGCCAAGGAAGCTGATACTGCCGGTAGGAATTTTTTGCAACGTCTGGGACCCACATTCTCTTGAAGCAAGGACACTGGTCCAGAAGCCACTCCATCTAGAACCACAACTAAACAATTAATATTTCACTGTAATTATAAAACCACAACAACAACGATTCTAAAACGGCATCAACAACAATAACAATCAAGCCAGATAGATGAATTGACTTCAAAATAATGGTTCTATCACAAAATCTAATTTTAGAAAAAACACTCGAGCATAATATTTGAGTTATCACTAATAGGAACCCGGAGGCATCTTTAAACACATATCATCATATATGTTTCAGCTCTACTACTTATTTATTATAGAGCAATTTCTTTGGATAGTAAGCTAAAGAGGTAGAGAGGAAGGGTGTTACTAGTAAATTGACCTTACCATCCTCACAAACTTCTTCAGGATCAGAACCCATGAGAGCGTGCTCTTCAGCGACAAATGATGTTGTGATATTCAGAAGTGGAATGTTGAACAATTTGGATACCAGATTAAACACTGAAATAGACACCCCAACTGCTGCCAATTCGACCGATCCTAAAGCAGCACAACTCAGATAAATGACAAAAATAGAACATACAAAATTTGCTATGCAATGGAGAAGATTTTATCAGAGTAATCAAATCTGAATAAAATGAGAGAAAAATGTGCATACCCACATGCCCAACGAATGCTGTATCGACCAAAGATGCAATTGGGTCTGCAGCAAGAGCGAGGAGTGCCGGTAATGCTATGGATGCGATTTGTAAGCCGAGCTCATCGGCTTTCACTGCATTCCTGTGACCTCATGATAACAAATCCAAACAAAATTATCCAAACTTGCATTTTACGTTTTCATGATGAAACATAAACAGTCTCTCTCTCTCTCTCTCTCTCTCTCTCTCTCTCTCTCTACTACTACTACTCTCTACTACTACTCTACTCTCTCTCTCTCTCGTCT